AATAGGCGTACACAATTGCAGTTCTATTTTGAGCGAGAGTTATCGTTTCATTTCAAGGACAGAAAAAAAGTAATCGCTCTATCCCCACCCCACTCCCACCTCCTTTGCACACACATTTTTCCAAGTAATATCAGCGAAAAGAAATATGTCTGAAAATTTGATCTGATACGATTATAGTTTTCAAAGCCATAAGTTCAAACCCATTTATTTTATAACAGAGATTCATTTCCACCCTGGATTTGATCCACCTGTACAAATGTTATTTTTTGTTAATGGATTGTATGAAAAGACGTTGGTTTGAAACTCTCCCTCTCTCACTTTCTTCCCCCACTCCTCTCTTTGACCCCTCCCCCCTCAAACCACCATTTTCTCGTAAATCTGTCAAAAAAGGTAAATTAATTTTTATGTTCATTAGCCTGTACCCATTTTTCTGTTCCTTCGGTCTTGATTAATGTATCTCTATTGAGAGAGTCGAAGAATGGCATTTGTCACTACTGATGTTCAATTTGCGCCATCATTATGATTGCTTCTTTGGCATGTTTCATCAATACCGTTCAAAAAAAAATCAGAAACAAATGTTATAATTTCATGATGATGTTTTGAAACATTTGGGTATAGAACAAACGGCAACGGTTCCTATGAATGACATGTGGAAGACAATTAGTAGTCCTATTTATAATATTATTTCTTGTGACTATAGCTTGTTCACTTTCATCAGACTGCGGGTCAGACAAGATAAAATGAAACCGCTCAGTTCAATCATCTCGGATCTTTGCATACGGATCTAAAAGTTGGATGACCAACAGAATCTAAAAACCCATTCGTAAAAGTCAATGCAAATGAAGGTTCCGACAAGTTTTCTTTGATGTACCGTAAGCATAGCGGGGGTAAAATAATAATAGGGGAATTACAGCATACACTTAAAATATTTAAAAGTTGTCATTTATTATAATCCTTAACAGCACTCTTTAACGTTCGTCCAATAAGCATGATTCAAGAGACTGGGTGAGTAATTTTCGAGACTCACGTGGAGCACGTAGAGATGTCTAGACGTCCGGAGGATGAAATCTACAAGTTTACACTGAAATGTGGGGGCAGGGTGATGTCGCTATCTCAAAATGAACAGTTCGTTGACAAGGCTAGCCTACTGTCAGTCATTTATTTTTGTGATCACGTGTATGAACCAAAGAGTGGTTTTTAATATAGGGCCCAACGGAAAAAACAAAAACAACGTTTTTAATAACTGGGTCAAGATTTAAAAACCCCACTACGTTTGGCCGTTGCAGAAGTGCAATCCATAGTTTCGTGGGCATCGGTAGATTCCTTAATGAGCTAGAAATTTTTTGACGCTGTCAGACGAAAGTGAACAAACTGTAAGTCTGCTTAAAGTGTGTGTGTGTGTGTGTGTGTGTGTGTGTGTGTGTGTGTGTGTGTGTGTGTGTGTGTGTATGTGTGTGTGCGAGAGAGCGCGTGAGCTTGCGTGGTGAAACACCAAACTAATGAACCAGGATCTGGACAACAAATATTTATCTTATCTTGTCTCATCCTTCTTATCTTATCATATCTTTTCCCCCTGAGGTTTTCAAAACTGTCATCATCAAGAGCCGGCTTCTTAACATTCTGTCAGTAACAACACAAATTGCAGAACCTCATCCATGCCACTGCAAGGTCTTGTTGAAATGAAATGATTTAGTTATGCTTTTTCAGTTAAGAGAGTAGACTGGAAATGAATGACGTCTATAATTGACAGAAGCTGCTTTCATTCGAATTGCTCAGCCCTTCGGGTGTACAGAGAATAAAGAGAACCGACACCTTTTAGGTCAAGAGAGAGAGAGAGAGAGGGAGAGAGAGAGAGAGAGA